ATTTTTGAAATAACAATTTACAACAAGTACTGTTTTAAATGGTAGAGTTACATTTGAAATATCACCTGAGTAATGCTGGTAATTGATATGAGTTCATCATTCATATCAGTATGTGATCTTTTGATTCCTTTAACTGGMTCAAAATGTCCCTTTGGGAATTTTTTGCCCACCTTGAACTTAATTATTTAGTTTAGATTCAGCAACTATATTATTCTCTAATATTTTGTTAGTGAACCCATTATGTTTCAACTCCAACCTTTTAGTGACTGCTGGGTTGCCCGTACAGAAAAAAGGGTAAAAACAAAAGGTTGTGGACGATGACAATCTGTTTTAAGTTTTTTGTCTCTGTTTCATTTACAAGTAGGAACAAATCTTAAATTCTTCAGTTAAACTGTGTGGTGTGACTGTAAAAAACATGCATTACTTATACAAGTGTTCAATGTTTCAGAGCTTCTGTGTTGGTTTTTGGTGSTTGTCTTTGAAGACAATAGCGTTAATACTTGTAATTATACATGGTCAGTTTGCCTATGTCTGTCAATTTTAAAGAAAAAAATGTGGGTCATTGTTAAAAAGAAAATACACTTAAAAGAAAGCTTATAATTATTTGGACTGAAGTGAATTATGTTGTCCTTGTTCTTGCTGAAAATTAACAGCAAGTGATCTTAACAAGCGAAGCGATGTTGGATTTTTTTTTTTGTAAATAAATGAAGAGTCAGCATCTAGAGCTGAAATCTGCTCTGGGCCTCTCAGATTAAAACAAGAAGAATGTAGGTGGTGTGTGTGTGTGTGTTGGGGGGGGCTCATAATTCTGTCCTCTTCAACTTTAATCAGGAGTCCACTGACGCGCTCGCGGCCCCCCTCCCCTCCTCCATGTCTCTCATAATAATAGGCCGCTAAAAATTCAGGAGGCAGGCTCCACATCAATCACTCGCCAGATTTGAGTCCAATGCAATAAATATGTAAATGAGGGAGAAGCCAGTGTCTCATCATAGCTTTGCGATCTGCACAAGGAGCGAAAGAAAAAGGAAAAAAAAACTGTATTAATTGCCCGTGGCCAGAAGAATCCTATTACTGTGGGCATTGATTATAAAATTGTATGTGTGAATGATTTTCATGCAGAAAGTGGACGGGGAAGCCTGGGGCCAAAAAAAAAAAAAAAAGTGTAGACAGTGTTGAATTGCTGGATTGTGCAAGAGAGTAAAAGGAAAAAGGCACAATGAAGAAGTAAAAAGACCAACTATAAGTTCAAAAAGGATTTAGATTAAATAACAAAACTGATTTATCTTCAGTTACAGTAAAGAATCACCCAGAATAGTTCAGGTGTTCTAGGTTTCCTCTTCATTTCCCACTGAKTGGGACCAACCATGGAACACAGAATATTGTTCTTTTTAATTTTCCTATTTACAATTTTCCAGTCCTTGAAATTGTTGAATTTCAAAGGACTGGTGGGGAAAAAGTTATTAAAAGCATTATATACACACTTTGGAACTGTTCAAACTGTCGAAAAGAAAAACAAATGGAGGATTTAGGAGGAAAATAATGTAATTTAAAAGTATCTGAATCTGAAACAATCAGTGTCTTATTCATAAAGGGAGAATTAAAAGTCTGGAGGCATGTGTTTATCTCAACTGACAGACTGTAATAGTCCCCAAGTGACAATCAGCTGAGTGATTTTTTTTTCTTTTTTTCCTTTTTCCTCTTTCTGTTAATTGATAAAAATAGAATTTGACACTAAAATGCATATGACAATCTATTTAGTTTTCTGTTGTTTTTTTGTTTTTGCCTAAATATCACTTATAATAACTCTTTAGTGGTCAAATAACTTAGTCAGAAGGAAATCTTTTTCTTGTCTTATGTTTGTCATTCAAAACTCACTTTTTCTTTAGATAAACAGACATTATTTTAATGGAAAAACAAAACAAAAAATAATAAAATAGCATATTCCAGATTTAAATTTTTCACTTCATTTGGAGATTAGAGTTAGGTAAATATAATAAAAATATAATAAAAGCAGCACAGTGTATTGTGTTGGTGGTAAAATAAATACAAATGTTGGTTTTTTATTGTATTGGGAACACTTGATGAGACTTTTCCCCCCTTTGCTTTAACACATGTCAAACAAATGATTCATTTTTGTGATTAGATTTATTTTTGTTAATTAATCTAAAAGTGRCTTTGATCACCATGGCATTAGCTTTCATTATGTTTGCCTTCCTTCCTTTTTTACAGTTTGCAACACATGACCGATAAAATASAAAGAAGAGAAATTTAGAAACTTACAGGTGAACTAAAACCTCTGCAGAAAAAGTTTAATCCATATTTTTCCCCAGCAGCTCCTGCCCCGCTGCTCTGTGATTTGATTGTCAGCATTTYTTTCCCTTCCTCTGCTTCTTTCACCTTTAAGACGTCGGTCTCTCTCAGGCCTCCTCTCCACCATTTTTACATTTAAGTTTAGAAGATGTTGCTTCATCTAAATGATTATTATTTAGGTAGRAATGTGTCTAAAAGCAGCAAACTCTAACTGAAACAAAATGGAGCTCTGGTTTTGTTGACCAAACTGTTAAACTCGTTGCTGTATCAGACTCATTTAAAGCTATTTTGGCAAAAAAGAATGAATTATTATATATTAATTTTAGTATTATTTGATATATTTATATGTGGTAAATGATTATTTTAAATGTTAAGGCCTTTTTTGGTAAAAGTGCCAGGTTTTGTCAGTGTGTGAATCTATTTGTAAAAGCACACTGGTTCCAGTCTGACTGCTTTATATTTCAGGGATAAAATAATAATAATAATAATTATATGTAACTCAATAAAGATTTTGCAAAAAGTATTATTGATTGTACTATCTCCACAAAATGATAACAATTAGCCCACTTCTTTAGGTATTTAACAAATCGTTATTTGATGAAGAAGGAAAAAAGCAAATTATAACAGAAAAAAATGTCCTGCTTTACAAAGCAAAACAAGAAGGGAGCAGTTTTAGATTTGGATCCTTAAAATGTAAAACCACTTTATTTCACAGTTGCACAACCCAAAATTTAAAAAATAAATAAAATTTTAAAAGCTGCAGTGAAAAAGTAGGAAGATTTCAACACAAAAATCACTGCAAAAGGTGCAGGATTCCAGCTGGTTTATTCTGCTTTTTTTTCCTAATGAGAATATGGTACAAACTATAGCACAGTTAGTTACCATGTTACTAACAGGACAGCTTTGAACAAGAAAATAACTGGTCTGGATCAGTTTCTCCCATCAGACTGACAKAATCTTACAAAATCAAAAGGTTGAAGCAAACTGTTCTGTACAATATCAACATCCAGATGGTTGCGCTCATGTGTCACAGGTATAAAATTATCTGACATATAAAGACTTTGTTCTGAAAGCAAACAAGTASGAAAGGAAGAGGCCAAAAAATAAAAAAATAAAAAAATAAAAGAAAAAGACAAATTTTCCCCACAGTCCTGAGAGACGTACTACTGAGAGTCACAGTCAGAAGTTAAATCCTGCAGGACACATCAACATGGACAAAGTTCACCAGAGTGTAGAAAACATTTTTAAAAAATACTGTCATAAGCARGTTGGGGTTTCAGAAACAGTTACATCAGACTGTGCCACCAAACTCAGAATGAACATTAATTAAATAAGGTAAAACAAAGTGCACTGAAAATAATAAATGGTCTTTTGTGAAATCGTGTAATTTTGACTCTTGAGAAGAAACTCAAACCTGCACATCGTTCTGAGCTGAAGAGTTTGATCTTTATGTGGCGCTCATATGACCTGAGCCATGATAAGTCTGATTCTCTGTGAGGTCAAATC